ACATGATTCAACAATGAGAGCTGAGTTTTCCTACAATTAAATGAATCTTCTTCACGATATAATACAATTTCACTTAGCTTTGCCTTTTAAAAGCAATTTAAACCTCATATTTAATCATTCGAGAATACAACTATAAATCTGAGTGGGCAGATGCTTGCCTTACCCAGAATATTGCAGCTGGCCTGTGATCCACAGACATCTGTAGTCATTAAGTGTGGTGATAACGCCATAAATATATTCACGACTCTATAGTGAAACTCACTAAAGTGCTGGTGAGATCTTGTTGAGGTGAAAATTACAGTTCATCCAGGATGAGATCACATTTAAGGAGAAATTTAGTGGCATTGCAAGGAATAAATATAATATGCGAAAATACAGCTATCAGTTCTTAATTTACCTTAAGCGAGCTAGGGCCGCCAGATTCCTATCCAAGAATCACTGACAGCCTCAAAAATATCTACCGTAATAAATACTACAACTTAGTTTTTAGACCACTGTAGTTATATATAAAAAATATATATATATATAATCGCATTTCTTGATCGTTTTAGTTTGAAATTTGAATGAAACTTTCTATTAAGTTACACAAAAACTTATTAATATTAATATTGATTGTATATCTGGATTGATTTTAATGAATGTATACAAATATAGGCGATAAAAGAAGCTACCTCAAAGAAAACATCTAAAGGAATATAGAGGTCATAGAGAGCAGATTTCAACTAGGATTTTATAAAAATAGGATTAAAACTCGGGAGGACGACGATCCACTTGGCTATTAGTAGATAAGCTTGCTCATATACACGATCCATGACCACGAGATTTACTCCGAGCCTGCCCTCATGTGAACTAAGCCACAAATTGCGATCGATGCTAATAAAATGTAATATAATGCAAAAGAAAAGCCAACACTCTTTACCAGCTGCCGATGCAACACGAGAAGGTTGACGAACTCGATTGCTCGGGAGTCTATAGCATTGAATGCGGTAACTTTGAGCAGAAGTTTATTGGTGAAACAGGAACAAATATCAGCCTATAAATCAAGGACCACCAAAGAATTTGCAGACACATGGATATTAAGATCCAAAATAGCGTAAAACATCGCACGGACGAGACACGAAGTCAAGAGTAAATCGACAGAAAGGTTGATTGCCTATACTGGAAACAGAATAAAAGGTAAGATACGAGAAGCCATTGATATTCTGACTAAAAGAAACCTAATGAACAGAAGACTTGAAAAAGACAGGATTAGCGAAAACTTTGCATATTGCCTAAGCAAACTCGGACAAGATCAGGGAGCAGGAATATCAGCAAAAAGGAAACGAATGGAAAAATATAATATTTTTAATTTTAGGAAAGGAAATTACAAGGAGACCAGAGAGGAACATTCGGAAACAAAGAGAAGACGTCTACAGTAAGCCTATTCAAATCAAGTAGAACTATCACATTTGGGGGTTGGCCCACAATTAGAACGTCATAGGCTTGACATTAGCAATAGAAGAGCGAGAGAAACGGTTGTGGTCATTTCCAGTTGGTTATTAGTAGATAGGTTTGCTCATATGCATGTTCCATGACTAAAAGGCTTGACCACGAGATTTACTCGATGCATTTGTCGCACAGCGATAAGCAAATCTGCATTGTCAAAGTAAGTTGTCATGCCAATTGAGAATTCAGACTTTGGGGGCTTGTTCAGTGAGGATAGTGTATACATGTTATTAAAGGCTCGAAGCAGAGTGTATAACATAATTCCTTGAGTAGCACGGATACGCTGGCAGCGATGGCGTGAAATTACAGGAACAGACAGATAAGGGAAGGCTCCTACAGAGCCAGAGGAGACTATGATTTGACCTGAATTTAGAACAATTTTGATTAAACTGTAGCCTTGAATCAAAACTCCGGGCACAATAGGATTGATGGGGATACCAGTGGGGAGAATGAATAGGTTTAGATAAATTGTGATAATGAAGGGGTGATACGAGGATATAGGATAGCTGAATAGCTCAAGACCGAAGGAGAGATATCACAACTGTTTAGCAGACAATTGGTCAAAGCATCGGCTTCACTTGTCTCTTTTGACGAGTTGTAGTATGGTGCTAAGTCTGGCAATGCTCACTGAAGATGCCGACTACAAAGCCGGCCAAACGTCTTGGAATGTACCAAGTCCACGGTCTGACTCTGGAAATGATCATTAAGCATATCAATTGTAGAAGAATTCTGCTAAATCGTTTAACTTATATTTGTGTTTTGGCAGTAGTTGCTGCTGTAAATTCGGAATTAATGAAGGAGTGATCTATAAAATATCCTATTTATAAGTATATTTTATTATGGCTTAAGCGAATGCCCATATCCATGATCCTGCTTTTCAAAAAATGTAAAAACTAATGTTTGTCTAAAGATTTTAATTTAGATAAGACAAGACAATTTTTCTTAAAGAATATTAAGAACTTAAGAATAACACAGTAAAATTAATCTATATTTCTCTATAAAAAATAGAAAATAAGTTATTACGTATAGTATATTCCTTTGATGTTGCATATCATTCTGTTACTTTATTTAAAATTGCGTCGCTAGCGCATCGGGGTTAAATATAAATATTTGTGATAGAGTAGCTATAGCAGTTAAACTTCCACTTTCCTTCTCAATAAAAAGAGAGCTAACCAGAAATCCCATTTTAAGAAATGCAATTAAATGGAAATGAGGCTAAGTACCGTAATGAAAAAAGGAATTCTGTCCGATCGAATTCGTGACATCTTAAGCCTAGTATGGCAAATATTTGTTTTATTAGGTATTTATATATTAACGATCAGAATTCTAAAATATTCAACTTATGGAAAATAATTGAATCCATAGAGGTAATTCATTTATCTTGATGGTTAGGATACTTCTAGTTACAATGAGGCAGGTCAGATTAGTCTACATGAAGCTAGAGATGAAAAAAGTCACGGTCATATTTTAGTTTCCGTACTCGAATTAGACATGAAAATCCATGTGCATTATGTATTAACATTATGAGAATCATCTTTTGTACTTGCTGAGCCTAGTTGCATCTATTAAAATAAACTATGAACTTATTTAAATGAAAAGGAAGGAATGCTGCCTTCAGGCCATGGCTTAAAAGTACAATCAAGTGATCCCTACGTGATATTTTCTAACAAATATCTAATTGAAAAACCTGGGTAGCTATATATATATATATATATATATATATATATATATATATAGCATTGCAGCTCAGTATATGTTGAATATGATGGTTTTTCTCAATATCTTTGCAGCAGGTTAATAAAAAATGATTTCAAAAATCTCTATACATTCGCAAGTTTTAATATTATATATTCATATGTTATTTTTTATCATCATGCTCAAATGCGAGTCAAGGATAAGCTGACCGGGAGTATTAAAATTTCATGTTTCTACATAAATGAAGCAATTATTAACGGAAGACCAGAATTTTAAACGTTTAAAAAAAATTACATTGCATAAGTGTCATTAAAACTTTTTTAATGAGAAATGTTTTTTAAGAATTTATGGTAATAGGGCAGCTGCTATTACTACTGTTTACCTTACATTGAGGATTTTATCGGTTTATTTTATAAGTAAGAATGAGAAGTTTTCAGTCAATATTTTAGCTCTCAGGCCATATTAATAAGATCCAAAAATAAGTGCTCTACTTCATTCCGCTGTTTATTCTTGATCTAGTTCTACCATCCATAATAAAGGAAGCAAGAACAAAAGAAAATTCGAATAAATGCAAATTCGATCATTTAGTCAAAATATGAAAGTGAGTAAAGCTTGTAAAGTACATTGTAAAGTTATATATAAAGCTAGTTACTGTTTTAATTGAGTATTCTTGTAAGGCTAGGTAGCTTGAAAATCAGGTGTATCAGAGTTAAAGACGTTTTCAGCTTTGTCATTGAGATCACAGACATCTGTTTGTTGATATTCGCTATACGTTTTAGTTGCTGGACTGATGTCCTGAGAACAGGGCTTCAATTGTTTAATCTCATACACTAAACAGGTTAGGCATTGCATGACACCAGCCAGTTGGTGTTCCATGTTATGAATGCGGTCATTTAAATGGCCTAACTCTATGTGAATAGCTTCCTTCGACTCTCGTCTCTTAGTTGTTTCATGGTTGGGATCATTAGATTCTTTTCCATAGGAGGCCGTGCAAACATGTGTTAGAGAGTCAAGAGAAAGATTCTCCAGATTGGCGTTTCTCCCGTGAAAAGTAGGAGTTGATAGCATAACTGGAGTTAATTTAGAAGATAACGAAGATAATTTGTACAAATTTTGATCTGACGAATCAGCCAACATGAAGATTGGTCTTCTGCTAGCTGTGACCTCTTTGGCAGAGAACGAAGCTGCAAGTGCATCGGTATGTCCCGTGGTAAGTTGTATGCTCTGGGCTGTTGAATAAATGGTGTTAGTCTGTTCAGATGCTGAGGTGACAAGATCCAAGCGGCTTTCGATTCGGGACATTTTCGTAACAGGACTGGGTGATCGATTAAGGCCAGAGTCTGTGCATGTAAATTCACCAGACGTGTATATGGGATTCGCTTCAAGGCATGTTAAGGGGTATAAGGCAGACATGGAATCAGTTTCTAACTGCTGGGTAGATTTACTAATTTGGTTGCTGGAGGAAGAGAGAAGCTTGGTACTTGATACCGGGTTGGTAGCGACTAAGACAAAGGGTTTATTCTGCAAAAGACCGGAAGTTAAATCACTTATATTTCCTGAGTCGAAGATTGGCGATATGTTTTTCAATTGGCAATCTCTATTTGAGCATGTATAACCAATTGCTGCATTTGAGTAGGCCTGAATGGGGGAGGCATCCTCGTTAGAATTTTCGAACTCAGCTGATTTAGTAGCAAGAGATGCATCTGCGGAACTCACAGGAGTCGCTAGCTTATTGGTTGTTAAAGGCAATAAGGAACGAAGGCCTGTGACAACTGAAGGGTAACTGACGGGTCCAGTAAATGAGCCAGCAGATTCATCAACTTTCACTTTGGAGAAAGTGTCAATTACCCTGGGACTTAGTGTATCCCACAGACTTCAAAATAAAAATGAATAAATAAAGTTTTTGATTATTATTTTTTAATTTTCATAATATATAATTCTTATTTGAGTATTTTGTTAACAAGCAATTTAAAAGAGTTTAGTTATAGGATAGAGTTGAGTGAGTTTTTTATTTAAATAATAATAATAATAATAATATTTGAAAAAATGGCAATTGTTAGTTTATAATTGTAAGTAGAGTTATTCTAATAATTGCGGAACCAGTATCATCTAACTAAGTAATTTTTATAAAATAAAAATAGGAAGACCTCTAATTATTAAGACTATTCAAAGTTTTTGATTCATATATATCAACTCTAGAACAGAGTAAAAATGGGAAAAGTAAATTTAATTTTAGCATGGTGGCAGTATAACTATTTATAAAGGTTTTCCTTAGTTCACCGTATTATTACTCTTATGAAAATAAATACTCTTAACTTAAAGTATATTCGATATGCACTTTGAAACAGTTTGCGAGGGATAAGACATAAAAAACTCAATGCTTTCATCACAATCACTTATATTATTGGCTTGTTTGCATCACTATCATTAATTTGCTGCTTCCATTCTAATTAAATTTGATCACCTAAGGCATTATTACTACCAGATATGAAAAACGCATACTTCTTTGGGGTTCAACTATCTACAGGGCTTCGTCAATCTATTTTATAGGCCTCACCTTTTAATGTTTATTATATTTGATTAGGCCTGAAAAGTGGAGGTTTCATCGTTAGAGTTTTCGAACTTAGCTGAGTTAGTAGCAAAAGATTCAGCTGCGGAACTCACTGAAGTCACTGGCTTATTGGCAAAAAGAAAGGAAGGTCTGTGGCAGCTGACGGGAAATATGTCTCTTAAGTGTGTCATTTGAATCTAATAATATTATGTCATTTATTTAAAAATAATTTAATGTTCATGTTTGCCTAATTCTTTCTTGATATTATAAATGATTTTTAGCATGCATATGAGCAACACTGTTTAAGTTATTGAATATCATTGATCAGGCTTTTTAATATAGTCTTAATATTCCAAAACAATTATCAATTTAACCATATAAATGAGGAGGTTAACTTTATTTCTATTAAATATATGTTACTGTAATTGAACAGGACTGATAATTCCACTTCACATTACACATATTTTTAATGTTCATCCTTATGTTTAACGCATAAATACAATCAAATTATAGAAGACATTGGAATATCATTAGCATATTATGAGTAATATTTTATTCTACAAATACAATAAATATATCCTTTCAGTATCATCCGTTATATATTTTAGTATGTGCTAAATAAAGCTTACTTGTTTAAGCAAATGGATACACCATGAATTGTGATTATTTTGAAAGGCATTTTTTAAATAAAATGTATGTCAAAAAGTAGGCCAAAGTTTAGATGAGTCAGCAATTCCTCTTCAAACTACAAATTTTAGTAAAATATTGGGCTAAGAGTTTCGACGTATAATTAATCATTAGGAAATTCGCCTAATTTTACCAAATCGCAAAATTAAGAAGTTGTAATATTGGCTTAAACGAACAGTTCTTCATTATGTAATATTTATTTATAAATGGACTTTATATTTTAATTTTTATCAAAGGATATCGTTAACCGTTCTAGTCTAGAAATTGTAATATTCCATATATGTGGCTAAGCTCGTCAGCAATATCGAAAGATAATCTTTATGTGTATAAGCATCGTTTATCACAAGTCTGATAAGTGAGCACTTAGATATACTAAATTTATCAGTGGGAGACCCCATTACTATCTTGATAGTATTGTTCTGATAATGATATCTATTATCAAAATGACAGAGCATGAGAGCATTTAGCAAAAGAAATATTAATAAATCAAGGGCTTTTCTGAAAATTTAAACGAATAGCTAAACGACTATGATAAAGTGAATGCCTTCATATGGAAACCAGGTGGTTCGATCGTGATTATTGACCTGTTCATGATGCCTAAAGGCGATAAATTAGGTTAAAAAGTCAGATCTATCCACAAGGTGTATTTTTGTCAATATTATTTCTTCAAACTCATCAAATGCAAAGTGGAGAAAATCAGAACCATTTGAGAGGAAACATTTCTAGCAAAAAAATATAGGAATATTTTTTTCTCTGAACTTAAAAAATAGAAGTGATCTGAATTAGCCATAGGAAAATGTATACTTTAAATATTTAAATGTTATTTTTTCTATATTGCTATTATGCACTTGTTTATTTAACGTGCTGTATTTTTTACTCTCATCAGACAAATCATTTAAGCCTTTTAAGTGCTAAGTATTATATTGATTGATTTCAGGCTGTAGAAGCCTAGTTAGTGGGGAAAAAATAATAAAATAATATAAACTAAACTTAATTCTCACTCAACACTCTGTTGGGGGCTGAAGCTGTCTAGCTCCGCCCTTCGATTACTGATTCTATTAGTGCCCTGAGCGTTGTAGACTTTCTTGTCCTGTTCATCAGTTTTGACTTGTCCGATAGCAGATCTTGGACACATTGTCAATTCTGATATCGGCGCCAGGCCAGCGCCGGCATCGCTTCCGCTGCCTGGACCTGTACTCAAGTCACCGTCTCGACTAGGGCCTGTATGTGGGCTCCTGAATACGCCATCCGAGCAGGTCAGCTCGGCTGTAATGGCATTAGAGGCATCGTAGGTAGTCAGTTCAGCGCTATGCTGGCGGCGCAGTCGATGTGTAGCTGCAGTCACCTCAAGCGAGCCACTGAGACGAAGAAGAGCTGTTCTAACCCGGTCCTCTGACCGTTTGCCCACTCCTACCGCCTGGTGTTCTTGCAAACCACGAGGTAGAAGGTACCGAGACATAAGCTCTGGCCGGACAACAGCCAGTAGATCCCTGTTTGAGTCGGAGGTGGATGATCTGCCCGAAGGACTTCCAGTTCCAGTGGGTGGTGGCAAAGGGGGGCTGAGTAGCTCCTTGCGCTTTTGCCCAGACTCCCTGTGCAGATCAGTAGATTGGCATGCGCTTGTTGACAGTGAGACGATGAGGTCACTGCGTGAAGAGTGTGTTGAAGAGCTGTAGTGGTAAGGCCTGCTGGAAGAGTGACTGGAAGTCTGTATATACCGGGCCCTGGCCAGTCGGTTCTGCTTGGC